TCACGACATAATTTGGCGACAAAAATTAAATTGGTATGAATAGAAGGGACAAAAAGGGTATTAGGTAGAGAAAGAGAGTGAAGGGTCATATGCCCAACTTGTGCTATCGCAAGACCTTTACCGTTACCAATAACGAGAGAATCAGTGCCAGTATAATCGGATGCCAAGGTAAGATTATTCAGGTTGTTGGTGACATGATTGGTTCCTCCAGAATCAAGTAGCCAACCATTGTGTCGAGTGACAGCCGTATTGACTTGAGGAGGGTAAGCTTGTTGCTCAAACCGATGCCAACAGTTGAGAGCAGAATGGTTCGGTTTCCCACAAATTTGACATGTAACATTGGCCCCGAAAGTACCATTCCCCGGGCTGTTCTGGGCTGCCTGGTTGGTAGTGGGTCCCCCAAAATTGTTATTGCCACGTCGGTTGGGACTGTAATGAGTATTGGGCCGCTGGTTTCTGGGCTGAGTACGATTGGTGTTGCGGGCCGAATAATTAGGGCGACTGGGCTGCCGGTGTAATTGGGCCGACGGTCCAGGGCCCAAAATAGAAGGGGCTGGATCTCTGCGCGCTACAAGGGCTGCCGACTCCCCTGTACTGACGTTATTAGCCGTCACCACAACAATGGAAGAGTTGAAGTCTTCTTTCCGCTTCATGGAGTCTTCGAAACCAGTGAGCAGGGTGTAGATCGTCACCGCAAGTCCGAACGGAGTGAGCAAAAGATTCGAACTCGGGTCGGAGTCCCTCCAGCGCTTGAACGATGAAATCTTCGTCATCTACAGGACGGCCGGCCTGAGCCAATTCAGTGGCGAGCGTGCGCAGGTGATGGAGATACGCCCCCACCGATTGAGAGCCTTGTCGAGTGTGGCGGAAGATATCTTTCATGTTCCGGATTTGGGATGGTGAACGAGTCCCATAGAGGTCCTCAAAGTTTTCCAAACTGCTGCAGACGTGCGAGATGTGCGAGAGGATCCAACTAGGGGTTTACAAGCCGAACTCAACGAAGCTATGAGGGCGTGTCGGATGAGCCGGTCTTGCCTTGTCCATCTGAGACGGCCATCGACATCACTCTCCGGTGGCGGGGCAGCATTGTCGGATATGTACCGATGAAGATGAGACCCGAAGAGAAGATCCAAAATCTGATCGCGCCATACAAGGTAATTCGAACCATCCAGCTTTTCTGGGAAATGACTGGGATTTAGAAGGATTAATCCATCTGGGGTGAGGGGTGCGGAAACTGTAGAAGGGATATTAGGGGTGATGGGTGTACTGGTAGGAATATTGTCGAGGTCTCCTTGCTGGACGAGAACCTCAAGCTGGCTGTCGTTGGTTGTCATAGGGGAGGGAAGGAGGGCTGGTTAGAGCTCAGTGGCTCTGATACCATAATAGATAGAGAGGAGAACAAATGTTTTGAATATATTTCTGTGTATTAAAACTGGTTTACAAGGCTGCTATTTATACACATCCTAATCATGTATATAAGGTAAATAATAATACTATAGTAAATGCCAAAGATATGTAACGGCTAACTACAATATTATGTTCTAAATGCAAATTATTTCTTTCCTTCAATAGGTCTGCCCCCTTCTAGATCATGTGACCATCGTATTACACTGATCTCAGGTGCTGAACCTGTGGTAGTGCGCCCCTACCGATATCCCTACTTTCAGAAAGATGAAATCGAACGGCAGTGCACCACAATGCTGGAACAAGGAATCATTCAACGGAGTCAGTCCCCTTTCTTGTCTCCTGTTCTTTTGGTAAAAAGCACGATAATACATGGCGCTTGTGTGTGGATTATCGTGAACTCAATGCTCACACTATCAAAAATAAATATCCAATTCCAGTGATAGATTAGTTACAGGACGAGCTGCATGGGGCCCGATTCTTCACTAAATTAGACCTTCGTTTCGGGTATCACCGGATACGCATGGCTCCTGAAGACGTGCCTAAAACAGCGTTCCGTACACACCACAGCCACTTCGAATTTATGATAATGCCCTTTGGTCTAACTAATGCACCTTCCACCTTCCAAAGCTTGATGAATGATATTTTTGGACCATATCTTCGCAAGTTTGTGCTTGTCTTTTTGATGATATTCTCATCTATAGCAAGACTTAGGTAGAACATGTACACCATGTACGGTTGGTCTTTGAACTCTTGCGTGCCCATGGTTTGTTCTTGAAACATTCCAAATGCAGTTTTGGGGAAGTAAGAGTAGATTATCTGGGACATGTTATCCATAATGGCGGTGTTGAAGTCGATCAAACCATAGAAACATAAATCGCTGAAATAGCCACGAACTGCGTTCCGAACGCCCTGTACTCAAATGCGGTACGAAAGCGTTCCAAACGCTGTTCGGATCGCGATTTAAAACGCTGCTGCAGGAGTTTTCGATCGCTTACAAAATAGAAGAGGCAAGACAATTGTCAAGTATTTTATTAACCATACCCATGCTTTAGCCATCTTTCGTGAAAACTCAAGGTTGAAGTTGTTAAAGGTTGCTAAAACCCGGTTTGCATCTTATTACATTTTGTTAAAAAGGGTGATGGATTGTAAGGAGGCTCTTGCCTCAACTATTTTTTGCAATTCTTGGAGGGAATGGGTGAGAAGTGGAGATGAAAATGCAAGAATTAATGGGACTAATGTTGCTGAAACTATTAAGAGTGATGATTTTTGGGATGATGTTAGGAATGTTTTGACAATGACTAAGCCGATTTTTCTACTTATAAAATTTTGTGATGGTGATGGCCCAAAAATGGGTGAAATATATGAAAGGATGGATAATATGTTGGGGGAAATAAAGGACATCATGGTGGATAATGTATATTCTTGCTATTACCCGGATATTGAGAAAATAATTGTAGCTAGATGGGAGAAGATGACAATCCCACTTCACTGTTTGGGGTTTGCATTAAACCCAAGGTTTTACGATAAATTCTATCTTGAAAAATTGGCTCCGAGTGATATTGCAAGAAAGGCACCGAATCAAGATAAAGAGGTTGTGCTTGGTGTAATGGAAGCTTTCAAGAGAATTGCAGAAAGTCTAGAAGAGGAAAGGCTATTACGAGAGCAATTTGCTACATTCCATATGAAGAAGGGGATATATTCAATGGTGGCAACACAAGCGGATTCCGTGACAATGGATGCAATTGATTGGTGGTCAACCTATGGAGCTGAAACACCAGAATTAGCCGAAGTAGCAAAGAATGTGCTTTCACAACCGATTAGTAGCTCTTCGGCCGAAAGAAATTGGAGTACATATTCCTACATTCATAGTGTGAAGAGAAACCGGTTGAATTGCAAAAGAGCCGACAAATTGGTTTTCATTCACTCCAACATTCGACTCCAGTCACGGTTTTCAGAATCATATAAAGTCGGTCCACACAAATATTGGGACATCAATCTCGAGAGCACATACATAGAAGGCTCAAGTTCAAGACTCGAAGAAATGGCTTGGGAGAATCTAGAAGATGACGTGGACAAGGGGAAAGGAAAGAGACCTCGAGTTGATTAGTCATGTACTTTTCTTGTTTGAACTTTAAATCAATGATTGTAGTACTGTTTTTCTGTTTTGCTTGAAATGTTTCTTGAATATTAATGTTTTTGCTTTTGTTTAATGTTATGAATTTATGTTATGAAATCCGTTTTTGTTCAATGCTGAAATCTGTATCCTATAATTCAGTTTTGTATTTTTATTATAGTACCAAAATATTAGGTACAACGTACCGAACATATGGTACATCGTACCAAACGCGTACCGAAATGAACCTACCCCCCTCCGAATCGGATACGCTAGATCTAGCGAACCGCGTTCCCGTTCCTCCTTCCCGTATCGAACCGTACCGCGAACCATGTGACTATGGATCAAACCAAGGTCGCGGCTGTCCGTAATTGGCCTGTACTAGGAACCCTAACTGCTCTACGAGGTTTCCTTGGACTCGCAGGTTATTATCGCTGTCCGTAATTGGCATGTACCAATGAAGGCCATGAAGCTGATACAGAAATGTTATTATGCAGCCAGTTTTATAAAAAAATATGATACACGTCGTTTTGGTCGTGTGTACCAGAGGCACATAAAAGGGGCCTAATTAATTGTCCACAAGCTTTCCTAATTATCTCCGTTTAGTTATTCTAATTGTTTCCTTTTATTCTGCTTTCCTTATCACAGTTACTTCCATTTATCTAGCCTTCCTTATTTTAGGCAATCTCTTATTAATGAGTCTGTAATAATTTAGATCTGTTTCCTTATTTAGGAACCTTATTTCTGCCTATATAAGGCTTATCAGTTTGAATAAAGTATTAAGTTTGGATTAATTAGTCTCTTGATTTACTGGTGGAGCCAGAAATCACCTTCCTTGCCCAGGGCAGGAAGTTAGGGTTTTTTATTCCAACATCATAGCTTCAGATCCTGTCTTTCATTATCAACGGCCTTGGACGAGATCCTGTACCAGGGCCCTTAACAAAATACTGCAATAGAAGTGTGGATTTTATACTGGTTGCAATCTCTACAGGAGTTCTATAAATAGTTAAGGTCCATTTGTGGGTTTTTGTTTACAAAATGTGATCAACAAAAACCAAACGAAGACTCCGTTTTTTTTCCATACTTCGTTTTAAAACAAGAGTGGTTTAGGAAAAGAAAACTCGTGCCAGTGTTTCCAAAACAGAACTGGAACACTTAGATCTAGAGTGCCCATAATAAAGTATGACTATCAAAGGTTTAAGGGATTAGACCAGAACTTTAGTATACCATGGCTGTGGGTATAGTATTCACCCCATCTTCTTTTTATGGAATTATGGACAGAAGGGAGTTCCTGACCTTGTGTGCAAGTCAATTTGAAAATGTCAAGCAAGAAAACAAGATACAACAACTTTTAAGCTTGGTTATCCAATTTCAAACAAAAACTAGAAACGTGAAATGTAAAAATTAATAATCTAACAATTGCCATGCAATAAAACAGGTTTATATCTTCTTCCTTTTGACTGGCCATCATTATGTATAGGTTTGTGATTTTTATAAACGCCCAAAGTACAGAACAAACGCACTCGAGGAGGTTTCTCAAGCTCTGGATAGTCAAGGCATCCATATGCTCTGCCAGATGAAGAGCAGGCACTATCATTCCCAGGCAATTTTGTTTAAAGTCCTTGCAGATACTGTTGGCATTGAATGCAAGCTAATTGTGGTAAGTTTTCTGTAGAAAAATGTAGCATATACATGTTATTTTATTATGTGTACATCCGGAACTGTATAGATAGGAATTAGAGTTGATTTAGGGCTCTAACTCTTAGATTAGCTCGCAGTGTAGATAAGAATAGATAGATCCTAATATTTAGGATCTGTAACAAACCTTAGTTTATCTGTAATCTTGTATATATATCATTGCCGGATGGCTCAATAATACAAGGAAGATTAATTCTTCAAACCTACATTTTCTTTATTAGGGCCAACCTGCTACTCTCTCTCTCTCTCTCTCTCTCTCTCTCTCTCTCTCTCCCTTTCACGGATTCATAATATATAATGATATTAGTCAAACTTTTCTAGCTCATCTAAAATTCTCTTGTTCTCAGGGTCATCACAGGGAAGGAATAATGGAGCGGGATTATACATATGAACCTATGTCTGTGATAGTAGTTCTAAACTCAGTGGAATTTCTGGTTGATCTTGCGCGTTCTCCAGGAAAATTGGTCCCTTTTACATCACACTCACTTTTTCTCTCTCACATATGTTCTAGCCATGACATAAATTCTGTAGAAAGCAATTCATACAGTTCTCCCATTGAACCCAACAGCCCTATGTGTCTTGCCTCGGACCAAACAGGCATTGATAGGTAAGACCTAAAAGGATCTGCTTTTATACTTAGTATGTACTGATAGATGAGTTTTTATAGTGTTTGTTTGTAATTCTTCTATTATTATTATTATTATTTATGGTGTGATGGAAATTGTAAAAGTTATTCTGAATCAATATTTTCCGTCGCTTTCATGATTTCATCGCAGAATTTCTTCTGGAGAGAGCATCCAAGCATCATATCAGCATAAACTAGAAGCATCAACAAATGTGTCCACTCCATCTCTATCACACCGGAAGCTGCAACCGCAGTCTATGATTGATGGGTATATGGTACTCTGTACTTAATTGGCATGAGCGGGCATCGAAGCCAGAATCAATCAGATTTATTTATGAGCTATCATATGAAATAACTTGTTCTTTCTGTACAAGACTACGAGAGTGATAGAGAGCAGGCAGAGCCGACTGAGGCAGAACAGGGCCCGAGGCCCTTGTTGGTCTACCGAAGGCGGGGACGGGCTGGAGCCCACCTCCGTGGGCCGGATATTTAATTGGCTTGAATTAATTACTTAGTTATTTCCTTTTATTATGTTTCCTATTTTAATTAAGTTTCCTAGTTATTTCCTTTTATTATGTTTCCTATTTTAATTAAGTTTCCTAGTATGATTTAATTAGGAGTTCTACCCTAATTAGAATTAGTAGGCTATTTATACCCCTTAAGAGGGTTATTAGAACTATCGATTATTATTGGAATAAAGTGGTTTCTGAGCTTCAAGCTTGGGCAACAGTTGTTACCGTTGATTGTTAGTTTTTCTGCTCTCATCAATTGGTCCGACCTGCCGGATCCCGTCCCACCAAGATGACAAGATCTCAGAGCGATCAATTGACAGAGGTAGAGACAGAGCAAACCCGAATGGGAGAGGAGCAAGCCCGATTGGCGATTGAGCAGAAACGGATGAATCACACCCTGGAAGAACACGGCATGCGGCTGGCTGAAATCGCCGCCTCTCTGGCAGCGCTAACCCAGGCCCTTGTGCCGCCGATCTCGCCGGAAACTTCCACTGCTGCAGTCGGAAGTGCTGCTGTGACAACACCCATCGTCGACAACCTGCCGCACATCACCGGCCACACCTTGCTGCCCACGTTTGACGGAGAGGACCCGATCGGGTGGATAGCTCGTGTTGAACAACAATTCGAATTAAACGGAACCCTACCAGATAAAAAAGTGGCAGCCGCTGTGGTTGCCATGGAAGGAGGGGCCCTCTACTGGGTAACCTGGCTGAAAGCATGCAAACCTAGCATGACATGGCCACATGGGAAGAATTCAAGCAAGCCCTGGTGGCCAGATTTGATTCCCGATTTCAGGGGAACAGGTTTGAACGGTTGTCTGGAGTCAAACAAATTGGGTCTGTGGAGGATTACAATACCTTGTTTGTTCAACTGGCTACCCAAGTTCCGGGATTGACCGATGATCATTATTTGGGCTACATATGAGTGGACTTAAAGAAGCAATCCGAAGCTCGTTGCGCTTATTTCGACCGGATAACCTTGAAGTGGCCATGGAATTAGCTCGAGATGTGGAGCATAACCTGTCCATTCAGAACGGAGGTAGAGGAGGTCCAAATTATATTTCCACAGGGTCACGTTCCAGCAGCTATTCCCGACCCTACACGGGCCACCCGCCAACTGCTAATGGCGTCAGCTCGCGCAACTCTAGTGGCAGCCTCACGAAGGCCACTGGACAGACTGTGGGGACATCTTCACTGGCTGTAGGGTCCACTTCAGGGCTGTCCGGGCAGTCCACCGCACGTTCCAGGTTCACCAGACTTCCCCCAAAGGTGTTAGAAGAGCCACGGGCAAAGGGATTATGCTTCAAGTGCCGGAAACCGTTTATACCGGGACATGACTGCCCCTTTAAACAATTAAGGGTGATGCTAGCTGAGGAAGATGAAGAATTGGACCTGCAACAACATGATTATTTTGAGGTAACAGGGCAGGAGGAATTCCCAGAGAACAACGACAATTCTGACGGCGGTGACGGCAATTTTCCAGTATATGCTATGGCTGGAATCTTCAGCCCGCAGACGATGAGGCTCCGTGGAGTGATTGAGGGGTGCACGGTGACGGTATTGATAGATAGTGGCACCAGTCACAATTTTGTCTCATCTTCATTAGTGTCACTACTCCGACTGAACCCGGACAAGACCGGGAAATTCGGGGTCCAGTTGGGGGATGGGCATAGGTAAGAATCAGAAGGGGTGTGCCGGCAGCTTGTGGTGACTTTACCAGAATGCACATTTAAAATGGACTGTTTTGTGTTTCAATTGGCCGGGGTTGATCTTATATTAGGAGTTGCTTGGTTAGCCACATTGAGAGAAGTTCGAACCAATTGGAAAAATTTAACGATGCGATTCAAGCTTGATGGTAGACAGATAGAGCTAAGGGGCGATCCAGCAATGTGCAGAAACGCAGTCAGCCTACGCACACTACTTAAGACCACGGATATCAAGTTTTGTGCCGTTGTTCTAGTCAGTGAGCCTGCCAGACTATCTGGAGCAGCTGCTGGTACTGTGGAGGATATTCTCGGGCAGCATACCGAGGTATTTGAGGAACCGCGGGGGCTGCCACCTCGCCGCGCCACGGACCACCACATTGAGCTAATTCCTGGGACACAGCCCGTGTCAGTTCGCCCGTACCGGTATGGTCATTTGCAGAAGGATGAGATCGAGAAACTTGTAGACGAAATGCTTCAGGCAGGCATCATTCAACCAAGTTCTAGCCCATTCTCGAGCCCGGTTTTGTTGGTCAAGAAGAAGGATGACAGTTGGCGATTTTGTGTGGATTACAGGGAGCTAAACAAATCTACGATACCAGATAAATACCCAATTCCGGGGATACATGAGATGTTAGACGAGCTGGCGGGGGCGATGGGTTTTTCCAAAATAGACCTACGCTCTGGGTACCATCAGATCAGGGTGGCTGGTCCTAACGTACATAAGACTGCTTTTCGTACTCACAGTGGGCATTATGAATTTTTGGTGATGCCGTTCGGACTGACAAACGCCCCAGCTACCTTCCAGGCATCCATGAATGACTTGTTCAGACCCTACTTGCGAAAATTTGTGCTGGTATTTTTCGATGATATTTTAGTGTACAACAAATCTTGGGCGGAACATCGAGATCAGCTGGAATTAGTCCTAAGCCTCCTAGAGAAGAATCAGTTCAGAGCCAACATGAAGAAGTGCGCATTCGGGCGACCACAGATTGACTACTTGGGGCACATTATTTCTCAAGAAGGGGTAGCCATGGATCCGGCTAAAGTTAGCGCGGTGATGGATTGGCCGTCACCGAATTCTGTCCATGAGGTTCGTGGATTTTTAGGACTGACTGGATACTATAGGAGGTTTGTGAAAGAATATGGGCTGATTGCACGACCACTCACGAATCTTCTGAAAAAGAAGGCATTAGCTCAATTTTATTGGTCCCCAGAGGCCGAGGGGGCATTTAGACAGCTCAAGAAGGCTTTAACAGAAGCACCGGTGTTAGCCATGCCCCAATTTGACCGTCAATTTGTGGTGGAATGTGACGCATTTGGAACTGGGATCGGAGCAGTACTTATGCAAGAGCGGAGACCTGTTGCTTATTTTAGCAAATCATTGGCGGACAGAACCCTTTCCAGATCAGCCTACGAGCGAGAGATGATGGGGTTAGCATTAGCCGTGCAGCATTGGCGGCCATATTTAATCGGGTGAAAATTCGTGGTGCGCACAGATCACCGCAGTCTCAAGCATCTGCTCACTCAGCGCTTAGCGACCCCTTCCCAGCATATCTGGGTTGCAAAATTATTGGGTTATGATTTTGAGATTGAATACAAGACAGGGGTTTCTAATACGGCTGCAGACGCTCTATCTCGAAAAGGGGAAGTAATGGATCTAGCCGCGGTTAGCATGCCGGAGTGGTTGGGACTAGCTGACATAGAAGAGGAGCAAAAGAAAAATAATTTTTTACGAGAAATTATACAGGCATTGTCAACCGATCCAGCTAGTGTACCAGGTTATGAAGTAATTGGGAGGCGGCTGTTCTACAAGGGCCGATTGGCCCTGGCTTCGGACTCTAAATGGATTCCTCGCCTATTGGAGGAATTCCATGACACGCCAACAGGAGGTCACGCTGGCGCACACAGGACATACAGAAGGCTAGCAATGAACGTGTTCTGGAAGGGAATGTTCCGCCAAGTACAAGCTTATGTTGCTCAATGTTTGATTTGTCAAAAGGCCAAATATGAGGCAATGTCGCCGGCTGGACTGCTGCAGCCTTTACCTATTCCCAGCTTGATTTGGGAAGATATTTCCATGGATTTCATCACTTGCTTGCCTAAGTCGAAGGGGTACACATCCATTGTAGTGGTGGTAGACCGATTGTCCAAGTATGGGCATTTTATTGCCCTAAAAACTCCGATCACAGCACGATCAGTGGCTGAAGCCTTCTCCAGAGAAGTAGTCAGGTTACATGGCATTCCACGTTCAATTGTGAGTGACCGGGACTCCCTGTTTAAAAGTGCATTCTGGAAGGAGCTATTTTTCTTGTCTGATACGCAGTTAAAATTTAGTTCAGCTTATCATCCGGAGACAGATGGACAGACAGAAGTGCTGAATCGTGTGTTAGAGACATATTTGCGTTGTTTCACTTGTGAGCAGCCGCAGCAGTGGGCGCGTTGCGTTGGCTGTCGTGGGCTGAATATTGGTATAATACCGCGTTCCAGACGGCAGCAAGATTTCACCGTTTGAGGTGGTTTACGGCAGGCCCCCACCCACTATTCGCCGATTTCTGCCAGGAGAGAGCACGGTGGCAGCAGTGACAGAAGTGCTGGGCAGCAGGGATGTCATGTTGAAGAGACTGAAAGAAAGTTTACAGAAAGCCGAGCAGCGCATGGTGACCCAAGCTAATAAGCACCGTCGCGACGTGGAATTTCAGGTTGGAGATAAAGTGTTTTTGAAGGTGAGACCTCACCGCCAGACTTCTCTATTCCGGCAGTCTTACAATAAGCTATCCGCCAAATTCTATGGGCCATTTTTTATTGAAGCAAGGATTGGGCCGACAGCCTATCGTCTAGCGCTACCATCCAGCAGCCGTATCCACCCGGTTTTTCATGTATCTCAGTTGCGGAAGGTGGTAGGCGATCATCCGATAGAGAATGATTTGCCAGAAAGTTTGCAGCTACCAATAGGCCCACTGTTTGAGCCTGAAGAGATTAGCTAGCAGAAAGAAAAATGACAAGGAGGAAGAGCTTCTGGTCAGATGGGTAGGGCAGTCGATTGACGATGCTACATGGATGGATAAAGCAAGTTTTGTGGGTCAATTTCCAGATTTCAACCTTGAGGACAAGGTTCTTTCAAAGGAGGATGAAGTTGATAGAGAGCAGGCGGAGCCGACTGAGGCAGAACAGGGCCCGAGGCCCTTGTTGGTCTACCAAAGGTGGGGACGGGCTGGAGCCCACCTCCGTGGGCTGGATATTTAATTGGCTTGAATTAATTACCTAGTTAGGCACTGGTAATTCAACCAGCAAAAGCAGTAAACAAGCTCACAGATCTAAGCAGAAATGTAGATAAACTGAAGTTTATTGATATGGGGGATAATTCGTAGGTAACAACAAGGCAATCGGGACAGGGACTTCTTAGGCAACAAGGCAACACACAAATCAAAATAACCGTCCCCTATTATGGCTACCCCAGCTTCTATTTATAGCAAAAGTCCACGCAGGGACTAAATAGACAACTAAATAAGCTATAGGCACTTTAAAAGCTATTTAACTCCCCTAACCCCCTTATTTAAAACTACTGATTAGACTGATGCCTAACATATTTATACCCCTTAAGAGGGTTATTAGAACTATCGATTATTATTGGAATAAAGTGGTTTTTGAGCTTCAAGCTTGGGCAACGGTTGTTACCGTTGATTGTTATTTTTTCTGCTCTCATCAGAGAGAGTCTTTCTTATGCTTCTTTTTTGTTGCATAATGCTTCAGCTCATCACAAAGTGATCCGGATGTTGCCCATTCCTTTTGGTGGCACAATAGGAAGAAAACAATATCTGAGCAACGGGCGAACAGTCCAAGGTAGTTATATCTTATATCAGCCATGTACATCTTATAGCTTAGTGACTAAATGGTAAGTGGACTTTTTATGTGATATTGATGTCATGTTTTTCAAGGTTGACTGTCATACACAGTATTTTTGGATTATAGTTTACTGTTTACCTTATCCCCATAATATTAATCTGATAATTTAATTATTAAATGCGTTTGTAGTCCAGAGCATCTTTTATTTCGTGGGCAGAGAAGATCTATTCTTGGTGATAGAAGATGTTCTATCAAAGGATATTGTGATGACACAAGCACATCAAGGTTTGTATTTTCTGTTGAGTTTTCTGTTTCTTATCATTTGAATGATTCCTAAAGCAACTGTGTTGACCATTCAGGGTAGTTATGCTTATAGACATATAACTTAATGGATATTGGTCCATCATACTTCAACTTAAATGCTAGGTTTCTCCAAACAGGGTAAACTAGGGGGTGAATGCCATTCAGTTATCATACCGTGTTAAGTGATCTACAATAGGTTTTTAAATTTTATTACTAAAACTTACTTGCACCATTTTGTTAATTTGTTCACTTTCATACATTCTTTTTAACAGTGAGCCTGAGTAGAATAGAATATATGGAGCCCAAGCAGAATGAACATAAAGTAGAAAGCAACCAACATAAGATGGACTTTCGTTTTTTTCTTCTCGTGATGAGTTTGTCAAGCCGTCTTTATCTTTGTATATGTTGAGTTGTGATTGCAGATCTGCTGGTGCATCACCAATAGGAGCACGTAGAAGAAGAAGACGGTGTGTTAGCATGATTCCAGAGATCGGTGATAATATTGTAAGGTTGATCAGGGCACTTTTTTTCTTCTGAAAGTGAAATTCTTAACAAGTTTGAGACAAGATGGACATCTGTGTAGAACATTGCCATTCTCTATTATGCTTTTTTGCATGAATTTGTAAAGTCAAGCAATTTTATACTTTTAAAACACCATAAATATATTGCCACCGACCCCATCTAGTTGGGTTAAGGTGCTGATAATGATGATGATGATGCTGGCGTGGTCAATGGGAAACATTTATGATGATTTTGTATGTAGCTTTCCGTAAATATATAGCTAACCGTTGCCTGAGAAATAAAAGTGATTTATTTGTACTGAAAATCTAATGAATGGTCGGTTAGAAAGGCAAGGCCGCAGAAATTACTAGGCAATACTACTATACTAGGTCATTTTACTACTCTGTTACTATGCTTGCGTGCATAGATGATCCAAGTTTTTTAAAAAAACAATACGAGTAACAATTAGTGTAGACTTTTTGCACTTTGTCTATTATAAGTTGTAATATTGGCTATAAATCCTCTCAAATATGTTCCATGTAACTCTCACCTAAGTGACTAAATAAGTTTTTTTATTTGTTTCTTTAAGTGGTCAATACAACTTTGCCACGTATCCCAACTCCATGTGTAGTAACTGACTCACATTGTGTTTACTGTAGAAAGCATTCAAGAGAAAAACTGTTCAAGGCTGTCATTTTTAGTTAACTTACTAGAATTGGGGTGTGTATAATAATATCAATACGACAAAGACTAAATAAGAAAGTAAAACATAACAGCCTCACTTTCACCCCCAGTCGTCCCAGATATGGAAGGATATTTACAAAGGCTAGTAAATAACTGCAACTACTTTACAAGGTTGTTATATTCTCTTGGAAATAATTCTATTATCCTATTTTTGCAGGGCTGTGCGAGCAATGAGTGAAGCTGTCAAACAAAACCGACTACCAAGGGAACAAGATGGCTCAGCTCTTGATTTATCTGCAGAGAAGAGAGATGATGACGACGACAATGATGATTCAAATACCCCAGCATGTGTATGTTCTCATCTTGACGTTTCTTTGATATTTGATTATAAAGTAGTAACCAATTTGTTAAGCTGTATTATATCCACTCATTGTTTTATCCCTCCCTTGAGTCCCTTCCTCTTATCATTTTTCTTACTCCCCCCAAAAAAGAAATAGTTATAAAAATAACAACAGTAATGATGGTAATAATTATAATTAGGAAAAAATCACATAAATAATCTCAACGATTAGTGGTCTTCCAATATTAATCCCAAATATTAGTTATTCCAATATAATCTAAATTATAAGGGCTATCTTCTCGAAACAAACTGGTGACATGCATAAACCTATTCAACAGGTCACTAGAACACATGCATGTTTTTATTGGTTTTCAATTTTTTATTTTTTCGTTTCATTTGCTTTTCTTATTTCTTTCTCCATTTCATTTTCCTTCCTGATTTCTTTTTCTTTCATTTGTTTCCGCCATCCGCATCTTTTGATTTGGGCATGTGCGTAGAAGACCGAGTGATGCACCTGTTAGACGACTTTAGGGGCAGAGAGAAGAGGCAGAGAGGAGAGGCAAGGGAAGACCCAAACAGACTTGAATTAGAGGAATCAGAACTGATAGCGTCTTCTTCGGTTGGATGAGAGTATGACTTTGGAGAGAGCAAAGTGGAGGGCGCACATTCGTGTGGACAATTGATCTCTTTTCTATCTTTCCTCTCTTTTTCTTTTATCGTTTATCTTCTTTATCTTTTTATGTTCTTATGTTATTTTTACCTTCTAGCTTTTTATGATCTTTTATCTTTTTATCTTTTATCTTTCTTATGTTCTTATGTTATTGTTATTTTATATTTATTTATCTTTATCTTGTCCGTTTTTTCTTATTTTTTTCTTCTTCTTGTCCGTCTTCTATTTTTGGCATCGATATCATGGATTGATTCATGTTAGCCGACCCCAAAATCTTTTGGGATTAAGGCTTGGATGTTGTTGTTGTCCGCATCTGTTGAGGACGCTGCCGCCCCCTATTCATCTCCAGAAGCAGATCGCCGACCCCATCCTTGTTCATCTTCAGAAGATGTTTGTTAGATGAATGTCTGCTACTTCGTCTCCGCCAGAAGGTCGGCACCTCTTTTGGCCACAGAAACGGGATGAAAAGAGTAGAACCATAAAAACATGCCACGTGAAGACAGCAAATTGTTCGATCTAGATCGAAAGAGTTTCTGCAGCTAATTTTCTTCCCCTTCGTTCGTTTAGGCTCTGTGAATTTGTTCCTCTTCCGACTCATCAATTGCATCTGAGGCAAAAAGAAAAAGAATACCAGAAAGAAGAAGAAAGAGGGAAGGAACTGAGGGAGGGAAAGTGAGAAAGAAAATAGGGAAGAAAAGAAAATTAAATAGGGAAAAATTTACTGCAGGCAACGTTTTTCACCGGGTGTTGGCCAGAGAATCGCCGGAGAAGACAACCAGAGTAATGGTCGATCTGCCATATGCTTTTCCATGATTTCTCGTTGGCGACCGTCGTCCATCGACACCCACTAGGAGGGAAGTGCTGGAAAGGAGATCTCCATATGGAGAGAATAAGAAAACAAGAAAAGAGAGGAAAAACCATGGCTATTTAGAAAGTAATTATGAAGATGAATAAACGTGTGGAAGGAGCTGGCCAAAATGAACTGTTAAACTTTTTTTCCTTTTTCATTTAATTGTTTTTACCTGTTGAGTAAATTGTAGGTCATCCGGATCAACTTGAGAAGACGCCTTATTAATTTGGGATTGTTTTAGAATTACTTATATTTTTTGGGATTAATATTGGAAGACCACTAATAGTTGAGATTATTAATATGAATTTTCCTTATAATAATGGTCCGAGTAGGATTTGATTTTGTCACTAATTATTGGAACAGGGAGATTTTTTTATCCTATGAATAAGAGAAAAACGTATTAAGGTTGTCTTCAACCACACACTTCTAATTGCTAGGCTCTGAGGTTCCATCCTGATGATCATGAAGAGGTTAGTGGTGGCAGTAGCCAAGCGTATCATCTCCAGCGAAACCAAATAATAAGTTCTCAAAAAACAATCTCATTGCCCTCATCCCCTCAGTTTATTAAAACTCAGGTCCGTAGAAGAGCCGATCGATCAGGAGTTTCAAGAAGTCCTCATATGATCTCTAGATTTGATAGAGTACTGGAATCTTCGAAACTTGTGAACCAGCCACTATTACCGTTCGAGGAGTGGAATATCGATTTTTCAGAAGTAAACATTGGAATACGTGTTGGAATTGGTATGTGCATATTACAATTTACAACAGTTTTGTTATATTACCTTTGGTATAAAATCAGCACATAGCTACAGCCGATACGTTTCTTTGCATGAATTTACAGTGTTAATTTCATACAATGATTGGACGCTATAAACTTAATGCCACTGACCCTTACTATGAGATCAAGGTGCTGCTGCTTATGACCATGACCAAATAAGTTCTTAAAATTTGGGATTTTGCATAATCCTAGATCGTGGAGACACTGAGTTTTGCACACTAGGCCATTAACTAGATGAGCAAAATGTTCTATAAGCTTAACTTGATTACATAATTAAAGCAATTGGTTCCCTGTTTTTCATCCCTTAATTATTTCTTCTTAAGATATTATTATGATATACATGGAGTCTTAGGTCTATATCAAATGGAACTATTGCCCTTTTTGTAGGCTTTTTTGGGGAAGTCTTTCGTGGCATTTGGAATGGGATAGAGGTGGCAGTAAAAGTTTACCTCGAACAAGACTTGAGCCAAGAAAATATTGAAGATTTTGCCAATGAAATATCTATATTGAGGTACTTTACTTATTATTCTATGTATGGTCTCTTGATTGAATTAAAAAATTGAAAATATAAAAACATCATCTTATCTGACCGTGTTTTCTCTCTCAATCTGACAGCCGTATTCGCCATCCAAACGGTAAATCATTCTGCATAAGTTCTCAGTTTTTCACAGTAATTTTCAATTTTCTTTGCTCTTCCTGAAAAAAGAGTCATGTTTAACATTTGGGAAAGGTACATATGTCTTAAATTATGAATCATACTTACCATTTCACACTTTTTTAAATATGTCACATGTAATTTGTCTATGACTCTTTTTTGGTAATCACATGAAAATCTAACTCGTATTCGGGGGAAAAGTGTTTCAAACATTACTCTTTTTGTGGGGCAAAGGAAGCAGTAATGTACATAAGACATGATTGGATAAATCTGTTTTCTCATGCAGTCATTCTATTTCTCGGTGCTTGCACAAAACCTCCACGCTTATCCATGGTAACTGAATTTATGGAGATGGGATCACTGTATCATCTCATCCATGCAGGTGGACAAAAAAATAAACTCAGCTGGCGAAGGAGGCTGAAAATGCTTTGTGATATATGCAGGTGTGCTAGTCTACAATTGACTCCGGCAGAAACTAAGTTTTCTTTTTCCAATCACATAAATGCCTAGGGTCCTTTTGGTCTATTAAAGCACCAGGGATGAAAAATGGAAAATCATAAGGAAAATTGAGGGAAAATAAAATAGATTCAAAACTCAATAAATCTACTGTTATTTGAATATTTGGTCAAACTCATCTTATTACTTTATTCTATTATAGAGAGTAAGGAATCAAAATATATCTAAAATTGTCGTTAAAACTAATCAGATTTTATTTTTCTTTTGAATTTTCTTACCAAGCATAAGAGAATAACTTTTGCAGTCTTTTTACTTCCCTGTTCTTTTGTGGGATCCAAATACACCCTCACATTTTTTAACTGCGTAGGGGTTTGATATACATACACCGAATGAAAATTGCCCACCGGGATCTGAAGAGCGCAAACTGCCTTGTAAATAAACATTTGAAAGTCAAGATTTGTGACTTCGGGCTCTCTAGGTTACTTGCTACAAAACCGATGAGAGATTCTTCAGCAGCTGGAACTCCAGAATGGATGGCCCCAGAGCTCATACGTAATGAACCATTTACCGAAAAATGTGACATTTTTAGCCTTGGCGTAATAATATGGGAGCTCTATACTCTCAACAGACCATGGGAAGGTGTACCATCTGTCCAGGTAATTACCACCCGCTACTGCGAGTTTGCGAGACTATCCTTCTCTTTCATAGTTAGTGCCAATGAACTGTTTATGTTTTTTCTGTCAGGTTGTATATGCTGTCGCTAATGACGGGAAGCGGCTAGATATCCCTGAAGGTCCTGTAGGAAAGCTTATAGCAGGTTCTTGAAATGCCAATTTCCCAGATATAGCGTTTCTTTTGTTTCTGTCAACCCCAGCTCAAAGAAATGTGGATCGGTCACATAACTACAACATAGCGTTTCTTAGTTAACTTTCTTTAACTTCAGTAACTACTAGGGGAGTTGAGGCTAAGCAAGACTCTGTCCACTTTCAATAAACGCCTTTCAGTAAATGAAATACATTATTAGTAAGCATATTAATAAAAATGACGTTGGAAAGCCAATCTGATTATCTGAGTTTCATGGGTTTCATGTTGGATGAAGTGAAAAGGTAAATGACAGGAACTACAGAGACGAGTAACAAAAAAAGTACAATGACCTAAAACAAAAAGATATTCCGTACAATATTTGTAGGGATGAAAACATATTTAGATATTCATTTATAATTTTTGTATTTTAGGCAACGTGGTTGGTTAGATTCAGTCTTACACTGTACCTTTGCAGATTGCTGGGTGGAACCTGATGAGAGGCCTAGTTGTCTGCAAGTTCTATTGCGCTTACTTGAACTTGAGCATAGCGTTTGCTAATTGATTCTTATATGAGTGGGGGAATAGCAGAGTGAACCTATCTAAGGAGTTTGTAAATATCACAAGGGCGTCAAATGTTAAGATTTTGTTGTCTTTTTAATAGTTTGTTTGCAATTACGTTGATTCATCATCTTAGATTATATACAGTATAAACGTTATTAGAATTCTTTCATCCCTGCTCTCTGAGTGTAAAATGACAAAGTAGCACATATAATTCCTTTATAATAGCACATGTATGTAAGTGTGTGCATATATATAGGGTGCAGATCAAATAAAAAGAGATCTTAATGTGTGAAAAGTGCTAAATGCACTTATGCAGCACTATGGTGCACTTTTATGTTTATGTACTGCACTTTTTCATTTATAAAAAGTTCACTTGTTTGCAAAGTTCACTTGTATTTACAAAAAGTGCATTTTTTACAATTGCTTCAAGTGGAGTAGCTTACAAAAAGTGCACTTTTCACATGTTAAGAGAAATATATAAGCACTATCTAAAAGTGCAACCGAGGTGTTTTTCAACCTATATATAATTAGGATCGACGCAATCTTAAGAGAGAAATGAGAATGAAATTAGAGTATTGAATTTGAGAAAGTACGAAACAGAAACACACACTATTATGAATTAGGAAATACAGTAGCATTTTTATAAATGGATTTATTTTTGTATGCACAATTGAATCTTTTACATTATCATAATCATAAAAGTGCACCTCAACGAGCCATTATATGCATCTTTTGAGACCATTCTAATTTCTCACTGGATGGTTCAAAATAGGGATGGATTCGGTTTGGGCCACCCGGCCCGTGACCCGGCCCGGCCTGCTACTGTGCGGGCCCGGGACCGGCCCGGTCGGGTGGTCCGGGACCGGGTCTGGGCCCGAACCGGGGGGAAGGGGCGGGGCGGGCTCGGTTCAGCATTTTTGTGATCCGGCCCGGGTCCGGTTCGATCAATTTTTTTTTAAATTTTTTTTTTTGGGTTGGGCTCCTACTAGCCGGTGGGGCTGGGGACAACCCAAACGGCTATATAGCCGTTGGGTGGGTTATAGGGGGGGTCCGGCGGGTTGGGTGGTGGTGGGGGGGTGGTGGGGGGGTAAAAAAATCTATAAATACTCCTAATCTTAAACACTTTTTCATATCTCTTCTCCAATTCTTCCTAAATCCTATTCTTAACTCTCTAATTCTCTCATTCTCCATTCTCCAATATATTATATTTATTATTTATAGTTTATATTAATTATCTACTTATATAAACTATAAATAGATATAAATAGTATTATACTATTATATTACTTATATTTGTTATCTAATTATATATTACTTATATATTTATTATATCTATTAATATAGTTGGAATTATATCTAATTAATTTGAAGTCATTCTATTACTCCCATCCGAAAGACCGAAAGTCCGAAAGAGGTACGAAATTATTCTATTATTTACACTTGTTTAATTACTAGTTAATTAGTATAGTTGGAATTACGATTTTTTATTAATATAGTTGGAATTACAATTTTTTATTAATTGCTACATTTGACTCTAGTTTAAAAAATATGTTGTACACAAAAGTACAAAACTAGTTAATTCACTAATTAATTTGCTATAACTCGAATTAATAGTTAGATAAATAGTTAATTAGTTTTTTACAATTTTTTATTAATTGCTACATTTGACTCTAGTTTAAAAAATATGTTGTACACAAAACTAGTTAATTCACTAATTAATTTGCTATAACTCGAATTAATAGTTAGATAAATAGTTAATTAGTTTTTTACAATTCTTTATTAATTGCTACATTTGACTCTAGTTTAAAAAATATGTTGTACACAAAACTAGTTAATTCACTAATTAATTTGCTATAACTCGAATTAATAGTTAGATAAATATTGAATTAGTTTTTTACAATTTTTTATTAATTGCTACATTTGACTCTAGTTTAAAAAATATGTTGTACACAAAACTAGTTAATTCACTAATTAATTTGCTATAACTCGAATTAATAGTTAGATAAATATTGAATTAGTTTTTTACAATTTTTTATTAATTGCTACATTTTTTAGATGGATCGTCCTAGATATTCGGTTGATATGGGTAACCTCGAGCGCAACCGAACGAACGAGCTTGCGAGGAAGAGATCCCGCAAAGGTAAATCACATCTCGGCTCTTCATCTCAAAGTCAAGATGATTTTGATACGGGTTACGTAAGGAGGGATGGGGATGCGATGACCGACGAACAACTAGAACAACAATTGCACCGACATAATTCCCGCTTTTTTCAAGACCAACCGAGGACCATTGACGAAGAAGAGCTCGAGGACGAGGACGACGATGTGGAGGAAGCAATTCCGGAGAGCCACGACGACGAGGAGGAGGAGGGTGGCGGCAGCCATGACGCCGACCAAGCAGCCTCATCCCAAACAGGTACAAAAAAAAGTAAATCTGAATTAATGGCTAATAATTTTTCTAAGTGGAAGGACCCGAACACCGGGAATTGGACCGCAACTTGCAATTGGTGCAAGAAAAACTATAGCTTGGGGATTTCCGGCGGATACGGATCCGCCGCAAGACACCTTAAGTCCAAACACCCGGTGGAGTATGCAAAATTAGGCGGCGGAACGGGGAAACAAACGCAAATATCGAGGTTTGCAAATAACCAACAAGCTTTTGGTAATTTCTCATACAATGATGCACAAAATTTGACAGGTATGGCTAACTTACTTGTTGAAGAAAATTTGCCTTATTTGTTTTCTGAAAGTCTTGCTTTTCGTGATTATGCACAAACTTGTTTAAATCCGCAATATAGAGGTTATAGTCGCAAAACGGTTAAGAAAGAAATTTCAAGGCTTTATGGTGCGGAAAAGGTAAGGTTACAAAATTATTTTGCAAACTTTGATGGACGTGTTACTGTATGTTCTGACATATGAGAGGATACTTATCATAATTTACATTATTTGGGTCTGACTGTACATTATATTGATAATGATTGACATATGCATAAACGTGTTCTTGCTTTCCGTGAATTTAATGATCGTCACACCGCTGAACATATTTATATTTTGATTGAACGTATTTTAATTGAGTATAATTTAATTGATAAGGTGTTTGCTATTGGTTTTGATAATGCTACTAATAATACTGCTGCTATTCCTAGATTGCGTGAATTGTGTGGTTCTACTTCTTTGATGGGTAGATTTTTTCATCAACGATGTGCATGTCATGTTCTAAATTTGTGTGTGCAAGATGGTCTAAAAGCGTTGGGAGCATCGTTGGAGGTAGTCAAGGGGGGGATTAGACGTATTTGGGGTAATGGACACCTTAGGAAAAAATGGCATGATTATTTGATAGAAAGAGGTGAGAGATATGTGGCTTTTCCAAAAGATTTGTCTATTCGTTGGAATAGTACCTATAAGTTAATTGGAGTTCTTCTTAGATATAAACAACATTTTCCTGCTTTTATGAAACAATATGATAACTATATTATAAACTCGGCTGAGATCGACACCTGTGAAAAAATTTGTAATGCTTTGATATATTTTAATAATGCAACTGAAACTTTTAGTCATGTTTATAAACCTACCTCAAACCAATTTATTCGTGAAGCTGTTAATCTCGCCGGTGCTTTTTCAAATTTTGAGAATGCTGATTATGTGAATTATTTTGCTGGTTTTATGAAGGAAAAGTTTTTAAAATATTATTCACATATTCCGCATATTTATGGTATTGCATTTGTTCTCGATCCTCGTTTTAGACTTGGTTCTTTAGAAGAATGTTTGAATTATTATTATGCTGCTTTTTTTGGTCCATTGCCAATGTATGAGGACAACCCAATTGATCCGAAAAAAGAATACAACGAGGTTAGTGATATATTTTATGCATTATTCAATGAGTTTCATGCACAATATGGCAATGCGCCCCCTCCCCCGACACAAACATCATCTAAAGGAAAATCAATTTTCAAATCTACGTTTGCCAATCTTATTAAAAAAACAAAATCAACTCCCGCTACACAACAAAGCACAATTAATGAGATTTCTTTGTATTTAACTTATGATGTTGATTTTGAAGAAGATGATGATTTTGACGTACTAAACTGGTGGAAGGGAAAAGAAAGAATGTTCCCGGTTTTAGCAAAGATGGCTAAGCAAGTGCTATCAATGCCGGTTTCAACGGTTGCCGTGGAACAAGAATTTAGTTCGGCCGGCAATGTTCTAACACAAACCAGAACGAGGTTGAGCGCTGAATCTCTTGAGATGCTTATATGCTACCACGATTGGTTGAAAGCAGCACGTAGAGCTCAAGAAATTGACATTACTCCATCCCAACACTTTATGGATGAATCTACAGAGGGTGGTTCTACTTATGCCGGAGATTCCGATTAAAAACAATTATAGTTCCTATTTAATTTTCAAATGTAGTTCTTATTTCATTTCAAATAAATGCACTTGAAGTTTGTTTTTTAATACTTGTATAAAACTATAAAGTATAAAATATAAATTTAAAAAAAAAAATTACCCGGCCCGAACCCGGCCCGGCCCGGCGGGTGGCCCGACCCGTGACCCGGCTGGGTGGCCCGGCCCGAACCGGACCCGTCCAACCCTCGGGCCGGTCCCGAGCCCACTATTCTAGAACCGGCGGCCCGACCGGGCCCGACCCGGCCCGAATCCATCCCTAGTTCAAAATGCTCTTGCAAAAATAACAAAAATGCAAATAATCAAGAAATAAATCAAGGACTAGTTGAAAGGGTTGATGAAGCTTGGAAACTTCAACGTGATAACACAGAAAGTTGTTGACTTTAAAATATTAAGACATGCAACTCGTATAATGTTTTTTTGTCTTAATAATTTAAGCCTTTAAGGTCAACAAAGGTACTTTTGCGGCTTTTAGGAATTTAGGCCTTGACTACTCAATTTTGAGTAGCTATAAGTCAAAAGTTGAAAGCACCAATAGGGGCACCACGTATATTATACATCTGACTGTACGGTGAGCACCGTACAGCTAGCCCAACAAGGAACAAAATAATAGGCAGCGAAATAGGTCCATAATAAGTCTATAAGTAACAGGCTCAAGGAAAAAATAGCAAAACAATTGGGTGACATTTTTGTAATTAATGTGAAAATCACGGTTTTTGCTAAATGAACATCAGTGTACTGTTAATGAGCAATAGTCCAATATTAATGAGCATCGTGTTATTACAAGAAAGCTGATATCACAACAAAAAACGATGACATTTTCGTGATTCACTTTTTTTTTCTTATTTTTTATAATAACTTATTAAATTATATCTATAATCAACTTC